AAAAAAAAAAAAAAAAAAAAAAAAAACAGGAAAATCAATATTAACAAAAATAAGAATAAATGAGTCAAATATATGCATAAATACAGTTGTGATTAATTATATTTTTATATTACTAAAGTATGAATATTATGATGATAGTAAATTATTATTTAAGGAAAGTACTCAAAATATGTTTAATTTACATAGAAATTCTCAGAATTCAAATTTTTTAAGTGGAGAAAATAATGAAAATGTAAAAAAAGTAAGTTATTCAAATTCAATACTTGGTAATATTAATGATGCGCCAAGTATTAATCATTCTTCTAATAAAAAAAAGTTTTTAAAAAATTTTTTAATTAGTAATAGTTTTAATAAAAAACAGAGATACGGAGAATTTTTAATGGCCTTAAGTGATATATCAAAAAAGAAAAATGCAGAAAATAAGCTAAAAAAAAATTCTTTTTTAAATTATGAACTTCAAAGTTTTAAGAAACATAAATTTAGATCAAATCTAAGTAAGAATAAATCTAATAATTATAACTATTTAGGTGAGTATTTTAAAAAGAAATTAGAAAATGCTAATACAAGGGCAAATTTATATTCTAAAAGTAATGTTTCAAATATAGACGTATTTAAAAGAACTTCTGATGATATATTAAAAAAAAATGTTAATTTATTTTATAAAAAAAGAAATTCTTTAAGTAGTAATAGAACATATTTAAATAATTTAAATTACATGACTAAAGAATTAAAAGGGAATAACATAAGGGAAAATAAAAAAAAACAAGTTATATTAGAATCATATAATATGTATGAAAATGAAAGACTTTTATTTTTAAATTACAATTTTTTAAATAGTCAATATATATATTCAAAATTTAAAAGTATGTTAAAAAGAGCTAAGAAAAGAAAAAAAATAAATAATAAACTTAATGAGGAAGACTTCATCCAGAAAGATACTTCAAGGAATTATCTTATTAATAAAAAAAATATTAACCATTTTAATAATGAAGTAAGTAATAGCAATACAAATCAAAAAATTCCTTGTAATAGATGTCACAATACATTTAAAAAAAATCATAAATTACTACATGAAAAAAATAAAAAAAAAAAAAGAAAATCATTAAATAAAAAAAGTTGTACAAATTATTTATCGTTTATAAGAGGAGGTAGTAGAGAATATAAAATTCTGAAACAGAGTTTAAAAAATATTATTTTACAGAAAAGAAAAAAGAAAAAAAGAAAAAAAAGAAAATTTATAAAATATGAGGATATATATAATAAAGATTATTATAATGACGAATATATATATAAAGATAAGGAATCTGAATATTATTCCATCCCAACTTCTAAACATAACTATGCCTTTTTTGGGAATTTTATTTATAACAATAAAAGTTTTATTTTTTCGAAATATTTATATGATCTATTTTTTTCAAAAATTAAAAAAAAATATACATATGTTTTTGAAACAACAAATAAAATAATAACGAATCAAATTACTGCTCACATATATATTCAAATACCTTATTCCACTAATATTTTTTATGTTTATTTATCTTCGTATTTTTCAAATATGATAAATTATGTTCATCTGTTTAATTGTAATAAAAACCTTCTAATTAACAAAGATAGAGAAAATATAAATAGCAATAAAACTAATGGTTGTAATAATAATTTAATTAATTTTAAAAATAACGTAGATCATATCAACAATATTTATGATGTCTATATTAAATATGATATGGACAGAATTTTGAAAAAATTTTACAATAAAAAAAATAAGTCTAAAATTCACATAAACAACAAATTCCGTTTTTGTTTTATAAAAAAAAAAATAAATAAAAACATAGAAAAAGTGAAGAAAAATAATCCATTTGATTCTATAAAAAAAAAAAATTCCTTTCTTGGTTTCAGTAAAAATGATAATAAAATAAATCCAAACATATTTTTTAATAAAAACTTTTTTATAAATAATAAATTTTCTATGAAGAATAATAATATAAAAAAAAAAAAAAAAAATGTAAATGTTAATAGCATATTTAGCATCTATACTAATTTAATGAAAAAAAGGTTTAATAAAAATTCTTTACATAGCAAATGTTTTCATTATTATTCAAGATATTATAAAGAAAAACAGGAAAAAAGAGAAAAATTTATTTTTTACCCTGTTCTATATAAAAAAAAATTTCTAAAAAGAACAAAGATTAAATTAATATATGATCATAACAAATTTCCATACAATAAAAACTATTTAGAATCATTTACTGCTAATAGTACCTTTAAAGTTAACATAACTAATTTATCAATTAAATATATTAAAAATTTTAATCATGAAAATGATTTCATTTGTGAAAAACATAATAAATATTTGATTAAATTAAACACAATATGTAATAAAGTTGCTCATAGAAATAGTTATATTAAATATATTAACGATGCAAAAAATGCAGAAAACATAAATGAAAGAAATAAATTAAGTGAATTAAAAATTAAAATCACATATACAATTAACAACAAGAATATCAATAACATATTAGCATACATTAAGAAGAGAATTAGAAAATTAGATGAATATGAAAATTTAAATGATTTAAAAAACAAAAAAGAAAATTCATACATTGAAAAATATAATTACTCAACTTTTACAAGAAAAAGTAATGACTCCAAAAGTAATAATCATTTTTATATTAAAGAGAAAGGAAGATATAAAAAAAAAAATTCTTTATTAAAAATAAAAAAGGGGCTAATAATAGATAAATATAATAATAAACAAAATATAATAATTTTAAAAGAAACAAATAAATTAAAAAAAAATGATGGAAAAAAAGAACAGAGTAAAAAATGCTATGATAATATATTAAAATTTGGAATAGAAAAATGTTTTATTCATTTTGATTATAATGATTTTGTAGATATTTTTAATATATACAATTATATAAGACCTGCTGGTTATATTGATAAAATGTTTCAAAAAATTAAAAAAAAACAAAAGATAAAAAATAAAAATAAAAACGAATATAATGAGAATGAGAATGAGAATGAGAATGAGAATGAAAATAATACATATAAAATAAATAAAAAAAATGAAAATAATGATACATATTATTTTAAAAACGATTGTGAAAATAATGATACAAATATACTTGATAATTATAAAAGTATCATTAAAAGTAACTATTATTTTAATAATCTAATTAAAACAGATGATAATAAAAACTATATTTTCATAAATTCCCTTACAAGACCATCTAAATATGTCTCTGATTTACTAATTAATAAAAATAAAATCAAAGGAAAAAATAATTCTTTCGATTATTCTCACTTAACTAATTGTATGTTTTTTGATAATAGTATATATGAAAATACAAAATCTTTTAATTTTAAAAAATATGTAAACCTATCTCATATAATAGAAGATGAAAAAAAAAAAAATAAAATAAATATAGACTGCGAAGAAACAAATAATTATAAAATGAAGAAAATAAAAATAAAAATTGAAGAAATTAAAATATTTATAGAAAACAACTATTGCATAAAATGCTCTAATCCGTTTTTATTTTTTTTGTTGAAAAATATTTACATTAATACATATGACAAATATGATTATTCTTTTATAATTAATAACTATAATAACATGAAAAAAGGTGATGAATTATATAACAAAAAAGAAGAAAATATAAGTAATGATAAACTTATAAAAAAAAAAAAAAGTGATAATACAATAATAAAAAATTTAAGCAAAAGAAGTTCTTATAATACTTTTTATAAAATCCATTTAGATAAGGATCAGTATAAGGACAAGAATAAAAATAGGCTTAAAAAATTTCAAAATTTTTATAATTTTATTAATAATTATTATTATAATGAGTATCATGAAAATAACTGTGAACGGAAAAAAAAAGAAAAAAATATTCATTTTAAAAATACAACAAAAAAAATGCTTCAAAACACAAAAAGAGTTTACTTTTTGGGAAATTTTAATTTTAAATTGTGTATATATGATAAATTAGCAAACAGATGGAAAGACATAATTGAAAATGTAGAATTTTTCATTAAAATTAGTAATTTAAAAAAAATAAGCAAATATATATTTTTTACCCATAAAATTTATATTAATCTTACTCTTAAGCATTTTAAATACTATCTTGAACTACTAATAAATATTTATTATAAAATTATGAAAAAGATAGAAGAAAACAAATTGTTGAAAAAAAAAACTGCCAAAATTATTGTGAATATGTTTTTGAAGTTAAAAAAAAGGATGGAAGAAAATAAAAAAAAATTGATTAAATGTGAAAAATTAACTATTGAAAAGGGTACTAGTCAGATAAAAAATGAGCAAGAAAATTATAAGAAAACACTAAATGAAAAAGATGTCCAAAATAGTAAGAGTATATTTACTAAAGAAAAAAATACTTCCTATTTTAGTTCAACATTTTTGAATATTAAATCAATAAAAAATGATGAAATTAAAACCCTCAAAACTTTTACTGAAAAACAGAATGAACAAACAAATAAGTCTCTATCGTTAGACAAAGAATATATAAATTATCATAACAACAAAAAAGATAATACTAATGATCATAAAATGAAAAATAAAAAAGAAAAAAAAAATGTTTATTTTTCTAATATGTATCCTAAAGTAATAGATTATTTTCACTTGCAAAAGGAAAAAAATTATATGCATTATTCATGTAATAATATAAATGACTATTTTGTAATTTTCTATAATTGCAGTGGATTAAAAATAGAGATACAATTAAAAAAAAGAAAAAAAAAAAGAAGAAAAAAAAGAAAAAATGTAAATTCAAGTGTTGTAAATTATACGTATAGAAATCACAAAAATAAATTTCGAAAAATAACAAATCGAAAAAAAAGAAAAGAGAAAATTAAAAGAAATATTCATCACATGGAAAAAATGAATAAAATTATACATATATATATGTTGAAAAAATTGAAAAAAAAATGTAAATATTTTTTTAAAAAAAGTTATAAAAAAAATAAAGTAATATTACCAAATAATGTATTTGTAGGATTATCAAAAAGTGTTAATAAATCGAAAATATACTGTAAATGTATATTAAACATAAGGATTTATAAAACTGAAATTACCGTAGATAATAAATGGAATCTTTGTTTAAAAGATAAAAAAATATTTAAATTAAACAATGTAGACATATTAAGATTTCCTGAAATCATTCCTGTATTCATTAATAACAATGATAAGAAAAAAGAAAATATTATGTTAATTGTAAAAAAAACAGAGAAAAATAAGAAAATTTCATTTTTACATTTCATTTCTCCTCTTAATTTATACAATTTTTCAAGTTTTCCTTTAAATTATAAAATTACTTTCAATAGGAAGATATATGAAATTATATATTCTATCTGTAATTATATAAAACAAGTAAAAAAAGAAGAAATAAAAAAAAAAATTCAAAGTAAATTTATCATTAATAAAAAAAATGAAAAGAAGAAGATATATTTTTATATAAAAAAAAGTGGCAAATATTTAAATATAAAGAAGAAAATATACAATATGGAAAAAATTTTAAGTGAACATTTTTCTAAAACAAATTATATGTGTGATACTAATAAAAATATTCCTAAAAATTATAACGAAAATTATAAAAAAAATTTACATGCTTTAAATAACTTGAATCAATATAAATATATTTATAACAGTATTCATAATAATAATAATAATAACAACGAAGATATAGATTATGATAATGATCACAATAAAAATAATAGAAATAATGATAATCAAAAAAATATTAATTATATGAATATCAATAAATTAAGTAACGTATATTTACTGAAAATTCGTCATATATATAATTTAATTAAAAAAAAAATTAATAAAACTAATATGAAAAGAAAAAATTGTCAAAATGAAAAAATTGTTTCAATAATTAATTATATTTATTATTATTTAAGTAAATGTATTATTCACAAAAAAGTAAATATAAATATACTTTGTATAATTAAAAAGAAATCCTCTATAAATTTATTACTAGAAAAAGATGTATCTGCTTTAAATATAAAAAAGATGCTTCTTAATGGAAACGGTATTTTATCTTTAAATTCATTTATTTTAAATAATATATATGGGATAAAATTTTACTTTATTAATTGTAAAAAAGGACTAAATAAAAATATAGACAATAATAATACGAATGCAATCAGTAAAAAAAAAAATCACTATTATTCACAAATAATTGAAAACACACAAAATAAAACTAGTGAAAAGAGGATAAAGTCCTTACAAAAAAATGAAATATTAAACAAAATTAAAACTAAGAAAAATAAAGAAATCAAAATTTTATTTAATGAAAATTTAAAAAATTCATTTAATGAATTATCAAATAAAATAAATAAAAGTAATAATATCGAAATAAAAAAGGAAAAAAAAAGAAACCTATTTAAAATAGAAAAAGTATTATCATCAGAAGAAATGCATTGTAAAAGCATATTTATACAAAAAAACGTATATTTATATGCAGTATATATAAATAAGTATTATAAAATATTTAATTATAATATAGAGAATAATTCACTACTTTTAAAAAAAAAAAAGAAAATCAGTAAATCAGAAAAATGTGAAAATAAAGAAAATGAAAGTTCTATAAATAATAAATCATTAAATTTTATTTTAAATAATTATTTTATGAAAAATTCTTTGAAGAATGAAGATAATTTTTTTAAGAATTATTCTTTATATGATAAAAAAATAAAGCGAACATATGTTGGTACATTTATAGTAAAAAATATTATAATAAAAAATCCCGTATGCATATATAATTATTTGTTTAATGGTCTGTTTTTATATATCTATAATAGCTTAAAAAAAGAAAAAAGAAATAAAAATAAATTTGTTTTTGTTAGTTCATACAGTTATCATTATTATATGAATTTAAAAAAGTTCGATCACATTTTTATAGATTTATATTTTTCTGAGAGTACATATATAAAAAATTATTTAATATATGATAATAAAAAAGAAAATTTAAACAATCATAACAAAAATAAATTTAATGCTACTAATAATATTAATTATATTAATAATAATAATAATAATAACATTAATAATAGTACCGATAATAATGAATATAATATAAAAAATAATTTGAATACAGACGAATTAATTAAAAAAAAATTGAACAAAAAGGTTTCTTCATATGATAAGAGTAAAATAAAAAATAACAATTTTGAAAATAAAAAGAAATCATTTTATAATTGTTTTAATAATATATCTAATTTAAAAAATTATAATTGTAATAATGTGGAAAATAAAATATTAAATAATTGTAAATGTTTTAATTGTATAAAAAAGAAAGAAAAACATATTCAAACAAATTTTATAAGAGTTCATAACAGGAATAATAATAGTGTAATTGAGTTAATTGTAACCGTAATAATTAATAAGGATAATAACATATTAGAAAATAATCTAATATATTCAAACATATCTTCTTTTATAAGTATTATTATATTTTCTCCTATAGTTATTATTCATAAATTACCATACAATTTCGATTTAATGAGTACATATTACATTAATAATAAAAAAGAAAAATATAGTTATGAAAATGTTTACAATATATATTATTTATGTAATCATAATTTTAAAATAAGATTTTATAGACAGAAGAATTTCAATAAGGTTAATCATTTTCTATCTAGTTCTACCATTGAAAATAATTATGAAAAGAAAATTTTACATTATGATTTAAATAAAAAAAAATATTGTAACACATATGACATAATAAATACGAAAAATATAAATTTAAATAAATATGAATTATTTAAAAAAAGAAAAGAAAAACATAAAACAATATATTTCGAAAATAATATATTAAATAGCAACCAATATATAAATATATCATCAAAAAATATTAATGTAATTCTTAAAAAAAGCAAAAATAATTTGGGATTTCTTTATAATTCTGATAATATAATATATGAACTAAGTTATTACAAAATAATAAAACATAAGGAATATTATGATAAAAATTTAATAATTAAAAATTATGTAGATACAGAAAAGGAAGAATATTATGATGATGAAAAAAAAAAGAAACTTTTATTTTTTTATAATTGCAATAATTACCTTTATGATAAAATAAAAACTAGTTTAATTCCATTAAAAAAGAAAAATAAAATAAATGACACTTTTCGTAAAATGAGTAATAATATTAATGAAATGTATCAGTATAAAGGTGATAGAATAGTAAATTTTAATGTAAAATGCTTAATAAAGATAAAATCTTTTTTTAATTATTACAATTATGATAATAATTATAATATACCTTTTATTAGTATCTCTGATTATTATAATAGAAGTTTTAATAATTATGAAAAATACTTCAATGAACTAAAAAATAATTATTTTCCCTCTATATTTATTTATGAATTATTGCCTCAATATATTTTTATTAATAATACAGATTTAAATCTTGAATTAAAATATTACTATTTTAAAAAAAAAAAAAAAAATACAAGCAAAAACAAAGAAAATTTAAATGATCACATAAAATATAATCAAGTAAAAATTGATAGTTTTAATAAAAATAAAATTAATGAAAAAAACAATTTTAGTAGATGCGAAAATCCTATATATAACAATAATAAATTTAAGAATAATACGTATAGTATTAATAATGCATCTTTTAAAAATCTATTCAATCAATCAGACTCTTCTATATCAACCCTTGATAAAAATGTAAATAAAGCAAATTATAATGAAAATAATCATATTAATAAAAAGAGAAATAATAACAGAATAATATATAAAAAATTTAAGTATGACATTTTTGATTTGAAAAGAAATTCCTGTAGTGTTATAGATTTTTATAATAAAAAAAATATTTTTTTTCTAGTAAGATTAAAAATTGATTCTAACAATTTTTTTCTTTCTTTTAATAATGGTGGATATAATATAAATAACAAAAAAATCTATGAAAAAATGAGAAAGATGATTGATAAAGAAAAAAATAAAATAAAAGAAGTACGAAATAATTCCAAGAAAAATTCTCTATATAGACCATCTATTTTATGCTTAAAGAAAAAGAAAATTAATAATGGTATTAGAAATTTAAAAAAAAAAAATCAAAATTACTATAAAAAAAAAAATTTATATTTAAATGAAGAAAACTTATATTTTCATTATATGAATGTTGGAAATAAAAATATTAAAGATTTTTTTATAGAAGAAAAAAATAATTTTCATAAGATAAGAAGTTCCATCAATGAAAAATATAATTATTATCATAATCATAATCATGTTAATAATAGTTTTAGTAAATCAGAAAATTCTCATATATATCAAAATACTTTTTTCGAAACATATATTACACCATGGACATATGGCATTTTGATTAACCAATCTGATAATGACTTAAAAGGAAAAACTATTCAGAATTATAAACAGGAAACAATACAAAAAGAAAATAATAACGAATATATTAGTAAAACAAGAGAAAATTTTGCAAAAAAGTTTTGTAATAACTTAGAAGAAATTAATAAAAAAAAGGAATTATGTCAAGAAAATGTAAATATTCTTATAAAGAAAAATTTCACAAATAAAAAATCTACCAATCATAAATTTGACAACTCTCATGATGAAAATGCAGAAAATGTAAATATAATTTATAGAAAAAAATATTCTCAAAATAAAAAAAGAAATAACATTATAAAAAATAAAAATAATTATGAATTTCAATCAAATAGTACATCATATAATATTGATGTTATATCATCTGATTATATATTAAATAATAAAAGGAAAAACAAAAAAAAAAGAAAAAAAAATAACAAAAAAATTTTCAATCATTTATTAAATAACTCTCAAAGTTCTCTTAGTAATTGTACTGAAAAAAATATTTTTCATAAAAATTTAGACCAAATTAAAATAAATAATTATGACAATTTGAAAACTGAAACATATAGTAATTATATGAATAATCATTATGATAATAATAATGATAATAATAATAAGAATAATAATAAGAATAATAATAATAATTCTTTTAATATATCATATAAAGATAAGAAAAAATTAGAGACAAGTATTTCTGAAAATAGCTTTTATAGAAATAAAATGAGATATTTTGATAAAGAAAAGAGTTTGAAAACATTCTTTTCATGTAATAGTATTAAAAAAAAGAAAGAGAAATGTAACTGTCTAAGAAAATGTTTTGAAAAAGCAAAATATCCTTTAAAAAATGAAAAAATTAAAAATAAAAAAGTAGATACTTTTCAAAGAAAGTGCTTAAATGAAACCATATTGAGTTACAATATTATACCATTAATTAATTATTCTTCAAATATTTTATATATTCTAGAATATTTTATATATGTAGATGAAAATTATATTACTTATATCTACATACAAAAAAATAAAAAATTCCCTATGTACTTTCAAAATCACTTAGATAATTCTGTGTTTCTAGTTTACAATAATATTAATGAAGGAAAATATATAGAAAAAGAAGAAGAAGAAAAAAAAAAAAAAAAAAAAAAATTATATTTATTTTCATATGATAATATAAAATATGCTACCAAAATTACAAATAGAAAGGAAACCAGTAATTATCAAAATGAAAATTATGAAAAAAGTCTTTCATATGAAAATGATTATAACAATTCTAGAAATCAAAATATTAATCTATCTTTAAATGAAAAAAGTGTTATATATAATAATTTAATACCTAATTCTTATTTAATTACTCGAAAAAGTACATATCCTTTTTTTTTAAACTTATTTTTTAAAGATTGTTCATATTGCAATCATCAATTATTAAAAAAATTTGATTACAATGAGGGAAAAATGAGTAAAAAAAATAATATAAGATCAAATATAAATAATAATATCAATAAAAATTCAAATAATGAAAACTATATAAATGACGAAGTGACATATAATAATAATAAATTTTGTAAAATGATACCATCATATGAATCTGTTCAAATAAATAAAATTAAATGTATTTTATGTTATAATGATTATAATATATTAAAAAATAAGAAAATGCAAAAAGAATTTAATTTATATTTAAAAAATAAGAAGATATTTTCATTTAACCCATTTGAAATAAATGATATGAAAAGAATTTATATAAGTGGAAAACTATTACATTTATATACATATATATATAAAAGTATTCTTATTACATCTATATTTAATGGAAATAACTACATTTTTACAAAAGAATTACTTGATTATGATATAAATAAAATAAAAAAAATCATAAAAAAGACAGAATTATATAAAATAAAAAAAAAAAACAAAATAAAAAATATTAGGAATATTTTTTTGTATGATAAAATAAATAATAATAATAACCTAGATGTTTATAAAAATAATATAGGAAGTAAAAACAAAAAGAAAAAAAAATTAAAAAAAAAAAAAACAAACAAACAGATATATTATAATAAATCAAAAAATATTCTAAATAAGAAAAAGGATGAAACAAAGAAATATACTGTAAATATTATAAAAATTATAATTAGTTTCAATAATAATAATGAAGAATTTATGCAGATATCTATGAATCATATTATATTTAAACAAAACATTTATTTTTTTAATTCATTAAATTGTATCTTTATAAATTATTATCTTTTTTTAAAAAATCTAATTATTTTAAATAATCATATAAATAAGTTTAATAAAAATGTATTCACTTCAATAATATTTAGTAAAAGAGATAGTGATGACTATGAAATTGCAAAAAATAATTCAGTAAACCATATAAATGAATTTAATGATAGTTATGAATATAATTTGTTAGAAACATCTAATGATAATATAGTTGAAGGAGACTCGAATTGTACAATTTTTAATAATAATACCCTTTGTTGCAATTTTATGAAAAAAAATTATAAAAATAGAATAAATTATAATTATAAAAAATGTGAATGTATTAATAATTGTTATAGAGATAATATAAAATGTTACAAGTATTATTATAATATCAATAAATATAACAATAATAATTATAATAAAGATATATGCATTTATAATAAAAAATGCAATAATAATAATATATTGAATAGCAATAATAATTCGTCTAATATAAAAAATAGGAAACATTCAAATTTATTAACCGTCCATTGTAGATGTAAAATCAGAACAAATAACAAAATAGATATCATATATAATACAATTAAAAATATAATAGATATAGAAGAATTAGTTATAACTATTAGTTCATTATATGTATATATTGATTTTTATTTTCTTATTCATATTTTTAAAACTTTAATATATCCTTTACTTGAATATAATAATTATAAAATTAACAACATAAGAAAAAACAAAATATATTATTGTGATTCATTTATGTATACATATCCTTATAATGAATTTATTCCACTTAATAAAAAATGTAATTATTTAAGTAAAAATTTGATAACTTGTTATGATTTATCTCCTTTTTCCAATGATACTAATAATTATATAGAGTTATTAATTAAGAAAAAAAAAAGATTTAAAATTAACCAGAATAAAACAAATATGTTAAATTATATGTTAAAAGAAAAAGAAAAAGAAAATATAATTAATTACAGAAAACTTGATAAAATTTTCAAGAGTAATAATAAAGAGCAAAATTACTTTTTCTATTTTAATGAATTAATGAATAACGGAATAATTTATAAACATAATTATATCAACAAAAAAGAAAGATTATATAATGAAATCCTTAATTATAAAAATTATGTAATATCAATTGTAAAAAAAATTAAAAAAAAAAATTATAATTATGTTTTCATAAATAATTTAAAATTTTCTTCTATAAATATGAAATATTCTATAGTTTTTAATAACAGCTTTTGTAAAAAAAAAAATTATTTTTTAAATAATATTATAAGACTATTAAATATACATAACTCTTATTTATTTGTTGATAGTTTATCCATTAGTAATTTATTAACAGAAAAGTCAGTTGCATTAAAAAACATTTTTCAATTTTTTTTATGTTATGCCTTTTATTTAATTTTTTATATTTTTTATTCTATGGATATTATAGGAAATCCATCTTATTATTTATATTTACTAAAAAATTATAGAGAAAATCATAACAGAGAAGAAGAAAAAAAAAAAAACAAAAAAGAAGAACGAAGATATGTAATTGATAACCATCTAATTGTTAATAAAAAGAAAAAAAGAAATATGAACAATTTACATTATGGATATTATTTTTATTTAAAAAAAAATATAATGAAAATTCTTCTTTTAATTAAAAGACATATTAAAATTTTTAATATGTCTTGTTCTCATACTTTTTTAAAATTAATGAAGCATTTAATACAATTGTTGTCTTTTTTTACTTTTGATCAAAATTTTATAGACTTTATGTATGAAAAACAAAATTACATGATTTCAAACACTACAATAATTAATCAGTTTAAATATTATTTGAACCACATATATATATATATATATAATATGTTTCCTTCTATTTTTATAAATTTTCATAATTTTATAAATTGGAGAAATACCTTTATAGGAATACCAATGAATACTATTTTTAATATGCACAGATTAGTTATAAAATGTTTAACTATTTTAATTTATATTACTACAAATATATTTTTTTATAAGAATAATTTAAAAAAAGAAAATAATGGAAATCTTATAAAAATCTATTATGAAAATACTTATCCTTCTAAATTATCATTTGGTTTTTTTGAAATGATGAAAAAATATAGTATTGAAAATTTTATAGTTTTAAATATAATACAAAACTTGAACCTTCATATAAATGTAAGTATATATATATATATATATATATGCTATAATATTAACAAAATGCATCTTATATTTTTTATTGTGAACAATTTTTTTTTTCTAATAATATAGTATTCATTTATTTACATTTTAACACTATTTTATTCATTTTTATTTTTTATAGGGTTATTACATTTATCACATTTTTAATTTAGTAAATGGTTACCTTATAATATTAATCAATAATTTTATATTTGTAATAAATGTGTTTAAAAAAAAATTAGAATACTGCTATGATATATTTGACATAATTAAAATAAAAATAATAAAATTGACAAAGGATAAACAATCTTCTTATTTATCATCAATTAATACTAGAGTTAAAAAAATTTCATGCAATTTATATATATATATAAAATTAAAAAATAATAAAGATAATTTTTATGTTAGATTTAAAAATAATTTAATTAATCTAAAAGATATAAATCATAAAAATTGTTCTGATGTACTAACAAGTAATACTAATATCCATATTATTAATGTAAGTCTTTTTTTTTTTTTTTTTTTCTTTTTTTCAAATAAAAAATAAAATTGTAAATATGAAAGGAATTAATCTTTTGTTTTAAATAATGTTTCATATTTTATAATAAAAATTACCTTATTTTATATATTAAAAATAAATAAAAAAAAAAAAAATGTTATATATATGCTACCTTAAATTTAGAAATATGTTTTTTTTTTTTTTTTTTTTTTTTTTTTTTGTTAGGTCTTAGATGTAAGTTATAAAAAAGCAAAATTATTTAGAAAAGTACTAATTGATATAATTAAATAAAATTAAATATTATTAATATTTTTATAAACTTTTATATCTTTATATTCTAAAAAATATATCTTACTAATATAATTTCATCTTAAAAGTTTTTAACAATAATATTATTTTGAAAATTATTTTTTCATACTTCTCTAATTAACTTTTTTTTTTTTTTTTTTGTTAATTTTTTTTATTGAAATAATTTTTGTTGTATTTTTTTTTTATTTTTAATTTTTTATAGTTTTTATTTTTTTAGTTTTTGTATATATCATTGTACTATAAAAAAAATTTTAACTTTTTCTTATATATTCCAATATATGTTCTAATTTACTTAAAAAAGAATATTAAAAAAATATGCCTACTCATTATATTTAAACATATAATTTAATTAAAATTTTATAATAGAAAAAGAAGAAAATAAAACAAATTATTATTTGTAAATTTATATTTTTATAAAATTAAAAAATTTCATCATAATAGAAAAATAAAAAATAATATAATAATCTTAAAAGTATATATGAATATATAAACACAAAATAAAATATTATTTAAAAGAAAAAAAAAGTGTAAAGAGGGAATACAGAAAAATATTGAAATGTATAATGATAATATGAAAAGTGTTAAAATGTAATATTTTGTTTACATTTTTTTCTTTTATTGTTTTTCTTATTTTTACTTTTACTTTTATTTTTTTAATTCATTATCAAAAATATGAAAAATGTTTTAAGGATCTTTAGATATTTAATTATTCTTATATATTTTTTTACTTACTGCAATAGTTTAAAAAAAGAATGTAAAAACGAATTGAATAAACTAAATAATAATTACTATGAAAAATGCTTACAAAATTATAAAAAGGTAAATGGAAAAAAATTTTTTTATTTAGAGAATAAAAAAAGTAAATTAAAAAGACTATGGGATGATTTAACGAAAAGATATTCTAGATTCCATACATCTAATACAAATCCTATCGGAAAAAATGAAAATTTAATTGAAAAAAAGTTTAATAATTTCAATTTAAGAGATAATTATGAAATAATTAATAAAGCTATAATAAATAACAGTACTGTTATTAATGAATATATATTTAGAAAATTGTTAAAAGATAATAACATTGAAACAATTAAATATAAAGATATTAATACAATAATAAAAATTATAAATGAATACTATATGAAAAACAATCATATTTTTTCTGAAGTTCGTAAATATGAAGTTAAAAGAGAAGGAAATCAAAACATTTTAATCATATATGTAAATGAATTAATTTTAGATAAAAATTCAATTAAAATTAATATTTATAAAGTAGAAAAGAAAAAAGATGAAACAGAAAATTTAAAAAAACAAGATATACTTGACCCACTAGAAAATGAAATATATACTAACAGGAAAATTATTTTTGAAAAAAAAGATTTAATAAATAAAGATATAATAAATTATGAATTAAAGAGAAAAGATAAAGTGAATGATAAATTAAAAGAATTTTTTAAAAAAAAAATGAACATTAAAGAGAACAGTATTTTTACATGGAATGAATACATGTATGACTTAATAATAAAGTCTAATATATTTAATTATATAAATACAAAATTATATGTCGATAAAATATCTAATAAATATATATTAGAAATAAATTTAATAGAAAATAAAAATGTTATTTTTATTCCAAGTATTTCTAAAAGTTTCAATTCTTTTTTAGAATTTTGCTTAAATCTATCTTTTGCTTATTTTCATCTTTTTAGATATTCGGATAAAATGAAAATAAAATTTTTTCAAAATTTGAATTATAAAAATAATAAACATAATTATGATTTTGTTTATTTAAATGATGTCATTGAGATAGAAAAGTTAAAGAATAATTATCCAAATTTTTTAATATATGGTTTGAGTTTGAATAAAACTTACAAAAATGAATTAGAATATCCTTCTTTAAATAAATTTATGAATTTTATAAATGATGAAAATAAAAACAAAGTAAGTATAAATGATTATGAAGTACAAGAAGATCTTAGTTTTGATTCAAAATATTCTATTTATGTAAAAGATATTTATAATTATTTATATAAAAAAAAACTCTTCATTTTTTTTATTAAAAAAATTAATAACACTATTTTTGAAGTAAAAATGAAAATAAAAAAAAATTTAATTCATAATTTTTTTTATTTTATAAAATCAGAAAAAAAAAGTAAGTTAAATAATGATTTAAGTAGAAAAAATAAATTAAAAAATTTATTCTTATTTAAATATTTTAAGTTTATGAAAGATGAAGAAAAGTATATCTTGTTTAATAAATTATATAATATTTATAAATCTAAATTCAAGTTTTCTTATTCCTTAGATGTTTATAATCAGAATTTTTTTGAGAGATGTAATTTTTTAAAAAAATATTTTAATATTAACAATAAAATAGACTTAATATTTTATTTAAATAATAATGAAGATTTTTATTTAAAAAGTGATAATAATACTAGCAATAATGATAGCAAAAATGTGCAAATAGAATTATTATCTTTTTTAAAAAACATTAATAAAAAAGGATATATATTAGATAAAATAAATAATGTTTACTTAAATTACACTATTTATTTTTGCCAAAATTATAGAATCAAATTATCAAATTTATTTTATAAAATAAATAAATTAAAAACAAATGATGATAAGAAAAAAGAAAAATCTTTATGTAATGAAGATTCACTTTATGCTATTCCTTTGTATATATGTAAAATACCTTTGGATAAAATTCATCTTTTATTGAATTTAGAATTTTCTTTAAAAAAAAATATATGGAAATATAAAAAAAGCTATAAGAATAATAAGGAAGAAAAAAAGGAATATAACAATGAAAATACATTTAATATTGATAGAAAAAAGTCACAAGATAATTTAGTAAATATTAAGGAAGATATTCAGCAAATAAAAGTTTTTAATAATAGATCTAAAAATGATTTAATATATGATATAAGTAATATTAATTTAAATAAAGATAAGAAAGAAAATATGAATAAAATGAATTGTATATTACATTATAAATTAATATTCCCATTATTATTTAAAAATAATTTTTTAAATTTGTTAAATATGAAATTTTACTTTTTTATTAATTATAAAATATCTGATGATAAAAAAAGTGATAATTATTTCTTAAATAAAGACAAAAAACTTAATGCTTATGATTTTCTTAAATTACACTATTTAAAAATTAAAAAAAAAAATCCTAATTCTTCATATGGTATAGGTGCTATTTTGTCTAATATTAATGTTTTCCTAAATTTTAAATTTTATAGTAAATCTATGTTGCCATCTATTATTTTACAATTTAATCAAGATCATTCAAAATTTAAATATTTGCTATAAATTATAACTGTGTTTCATATATATATATATATATTTACTTAAAATTTTAATATTCTTTATAAATGATATTTAAGTATAATATTTTATAATTAAGATTTAATAGTCTATATATTATTTAAATAATCATTTATAAAAATTTAAAATCTTGAATTATGCATAACTTTTTATTACTTTCAGATAAATCAAAATATTCATACTTATTTTAAAACAAAAAATATCATAATTATTGTTAATTTTAAAAATATTAACTTAATTTTTAATATATAAAACATATAAAATGTGTTTCTTATTATTCTATATATATATATATATATATATTTTTTTTTTTTTTTTTTTTTTTTTTTTTTTTTTTTTTTATTATTATTATTATTATTGTTATTAATATTATTAGAATAATATACTTAAATACTCATTTTTTTTTTTTTTTTACTTAATAAATTTAAAATTGAACATTTGTTAAAATAATAAAAATTTTAAAATTTATTTTTTTTTGATTTTGTTCTTTATGAAAATTTAAAAACTAATTAATTTTTTTTCCCTTTTTTTTTTTTTTTTTTTTAAAAGTGGAGAAAAAAAGATGTATTTTTTATTTATCATATAAATACTATTCTTTATTTCAAAGTATTTCAATACAAAATTATTTAACAAAAATAATAAAAAATAAAATAAGAAATAATACTATTTTTATAAAAGTATTTTATTATTTTTTTATATATTTAATTGAAAATAGAAAAAAAATATATATATTTTAATTTTCTCATTTTTGTGATAATCTAAATATTTTTTGTTTTTAATTAATTTTAATATAATTTATAATTTTTTTTATGTTGTATTTTTCTATAATAATTAAATTTAAAAAATAGAATAATAAAAATGATAACATCTATAGACGTTATACACGAATTATTAACTACCATATATTATAATATTTTTTCTAGAAATAAAAGTAATATAAATAAATTTGATATATTATTATACTTAGATGATTATTATTATTTTGATATATTAAAAAAGGTAAGTGAGGATATAAAAGATTTAGATAATAGTTCTATAATAATAGAAAAAGGAGATTTCAATATTATTTTTAATAACTTTTGTACAAGTAGGAATTATATTATAAAAGATAAGAATTATTCTAATGATAATGAAAAGAGAATAGATTTTCTTCATGAAATTCTTTCTGATTTACTATGCTTATTATATAAAAATAAAATCACTAAAAAAAAAAGAGTTATATCAAAAATATATAATTCAGAGAAAAATGAAAAATGGAAAATTTTAGAAAATCATTTAATAAGTATTGCAAAATTGAATAACAAGAATATTTTAAAAGTTAGCGAAAATAATATTGAAGATATTTTAGATATAAATAATGAAAGTTTTAAAAATGAAAATATAATAATTCAAAAAAAAGTAAATAAAGATATAGAAAAAATATTAAATACATTAATAAATAAATATAATGCCGAATATAAATTAAGATTTTATTATATGTTTTTAAATTATAATCTCACTATTCAAACTATGTTAATGTCTCATTTAATTAATTTGTATTCAAAAGAAGTGAAAGACATAATTAAAAATATTATAAATATTAAAAATGAAAGATATGAACCAATAAATATATATGATGTTTTATCATTTCAATTTGATCAAATAAAATTTAATAAGAGTTCTCATGATAATTTAATAACACCAGTAAAAAAAATTAAAATAATGAGAGATATTGTTGAAAGAGGAGGAATTCCTGCTGAATTTTCAAAAAAAGCTATTTTGAAAGATGTAATAAATGCAAATTATTCTTTAAAGGAAAAATATAACAAAAATAGAAACCAAAACGAAAATTTTAGTGGAAAGAAATATAAAGTACGTAACTATTATGATTCTTCAAGAAGATAATAATAAAACAACAAAAAAAAAAAAAAAAGAGAAAAATCATAAAATAAACATTGATTAAATAAATTTAAATATAATTTTTTGTTTCCATTATTAGTATCATTTTGTACTTCTTTTTTATATTTTTGTTACTTTTTCATAAATTTTCTTGTATGTTAAAAATGTATAAACAAATGTTTTCTATTAATGCATTTCATTGATAAAAAAATAAAATAAAATAAAATACAGAAAAAAAAAAAAAATTTATACTTTATAATATTAATTTAAGTTTAGAAAACTTTCCATTTATATAAATTACTTAAATCTTTTTTTTTAAACTTAAAATTTTTTTTTATGTGTGCATATAGAATAAGAAATATCATAGTAATTTTAAATTTTAATAATAATAAAAAAAAATTATATGTGTATATTAAAGCAAAAAAAATATTATATAATTAATATATATATTAATTTTTTAAAATAATTACATTTAAAAAATAAATAAAATAAAACTATAACTTTACAAATAACTTTATTTATTTATTTATTTATTTTTTTTTATTTTAATAATAAATAAAAAAGACTTGATTAATAACCTTTATATTATTATAAATAGACAACAAGAGAAATCTTCATAAAAAAATAAAATAATAAAATTAAAAGAGAAGAAAAAATTTAAGCATATTATAAAATATAGATGTAATATTTTTTATTTTCTTTTTCTGTTTTTCGATATTTATTCTATACTATCTTTTTTTTTTTTTTCTTTGTTAATCTATCATATTTTTTATTATATTAGTTTCACATATTTGATTTCTTTATTATCAGCTGTTATTTTGTATATTTTTCATATAATTTTTTTGTTGCAAAAACTTATTAAGACTTTTTATATTTTTCCGTTGTACATTTTAAATGTAATAATATAAATAGGAATATCTTTTTTAACTAAAACAATGATTGAAGGAAATAATTTTCCACTTGTTTTAGAAAACATTTAGTTTTTTATAATTATATATTCATTAAGTATAAACATTTCATTAATATAATTTTTTATATTTTTTATTTTTTAGCTATATATTAGAAAAAAAAAAAAAAAAAAAAAAAAAAAAAAAAATGGTTAAAAATGGCTTCCATGTTTTTATAAGTATTTTTTTGTTAAATATATATATAATAAAATGTTCTGTTAACTACTTTAATGAAATTGTAGATAAGAATCATTGTGAAACATGTAATAACAAAAAGAAAAATGATAAATATAGTGATGATGTCTTAAATAATGTAATAAATAAAAATGATTATAATAAAAACCTCTATAATGGGGATATAAATGAATTAATAAATCCTGTAAAAAGTTATAACAAAAACGAGAATAATCATATTAATAGTAAAAAATTAGAAGAGAATAATTATAATGAAATAAGAAAAAAAGAAGAAAATGAAGAAATGAGTAATGATGTTAAAAAATACTTTTTAAATTTTAAAAAAAAAGAAGATAATAAGTTTTATACTTTAAAATTGAATGAGTTTAATTTTAGATGGAGTATACCTTTATATATAGGATCGAAAAAAACAAAAATAGAATTATGTATAATAACCTCTAGCTCTATAACAGCATTATATTGCACTGATAGTTTTAAAGAAAAAGATAATTTGAAAAAATTAAAATACAATATAAATGAATCAATAGATTTGAGATATGTTGAGTGTAGAAGCAAAAGTTGTGATAACATACTAAATAATGAATGCTTACCTTTAAAAAATTATTTTAAAATGTTACATGAATATAATATAAAAAAAAAAAATTGTAAAGATAGATTTTGTGATTATATAAATAATATGAACTTTTTAAATATGATTGATAAATTAAATGATAGAAATATATCAGTTTGCTCATTTAATTCAACCATAGATAATGATCAAATAAAGGGTTTTTATTTTAAAGATTCTTTTTATATCAATAATACTGTTAAATATTTTTACGATTATTTTGGATGTATATCAGAAAGCGATTATTTAAAATTTAATGAAGTATTATCTGGTTTTATAGGTTTAGGAAATTATAATGAGAATAATAATAAAAAATATCCAACTATTTTAAATTCTTTTATTCATAAATCGATATCTAAGAAAAATATTTTTGCATTATGCTTTGTTGAGAATAGTGGTCTTATTTCATTTGGTGGTTATGAAAAGAGTATTCTCAAAAAAAAAGAACATATTCCAAAATTAGAAATTAATAGAAGAAAAATAATTAGAGATAGAGAGGAAGAAATGCCAGTTGAAGATATTGATCAGTATGAAATATTATGGTTGCATTATTCTAATCCTAATAAATCTATTTATAATATCTTTTTAAAGGAAGCTAATGTAAATTCTAAATCAAAAAAATTGATCAATACGATTAAAAGAGATGCAATAGTTGATTCATGTAAGTTTACAAATATATAAATATATAAATATATATATAAATATATATAAATATATATAAATATATATATATATATAAATATATATAAATATATAAATATATATACCTTTTTTTTTTTTTTTTTAGACAATTATTTTTTATCTCTTCCAGCAGATATTACTGCAAAAATAAAAACTTTTATTTATAATGAATGTTCTGATAAAACAAATGAATGTTCTAGATTAATTGAAAAAGGAATATTTGAATTAAAAAATAAAAATATAAATAATTTTCCTCAGATTGAATTAGTTTTTAAGTACTGTTTAATTTTATTTTTAATCATTTTATTTTTTTTTTTTTTTTTCAAATAAATATATTTATATATCTTTGTATTCTTTTTTTTTTTTTTTTTTTTTTTTTTTTTTTATTGTAGTGAAGGGACATTAATTATAGAACCAAATGATTACATAATACATGAAGGGTAAATATTTTTTTAAAATTCACTTATAAAAAGATACTTAAAACATAACATACAAATTTTTTTTTTAGTGATGGTATTTATAGAGTTTTAATAAATTCTTCAGGAGTATTAAAATTAGGAATTCCATTTTTTTTAAATAAATACTTAATATTTGATAATGAAAATAAAAAATTAGGTTATATATATATATATATATATATATATATATATATATATATATATATATATATGATCAATCTTTTAAACAATAAGAAAAATATATTATCAGAAATTAAGAATTTGAAAAAAAAATTGATACCATAAATTTAAAAAAATATTGTTTTCTTTATTTTTTATATATGAATATATATATATTTAATAATATATATATATATTAAAAATAAAAAAATAATTAAATATGTTAATACATAATTTTTTTTTTAAAAGGAATAAGTAAATCTGATTGTAATTTCCAAGTTGATAATGAAAAAATAACTGGTATAGATATGAGTTTATCTAATATGGATGATCATGGATTAATAAAAGATTACGTAAAAATATATTATAAAAAACATACTATAATTATATATATATATATATATATAAATATTTATACATATTTTTTTTTTTTTTAAAGAATGTTATAAATCAAGGATTTTTTGAAAAGAATAAAATAGTTATAATTACAATTTTTATTTTATTTTTTGTTGGATCTATAATTGGAAGTATTTTTTATTTTTGTTGAATATTCGTAAAAGAGAAAAAAATAACTTGTTATTTTCCTTAATTTACTGTTATTATTTGTTTAGTATATAATTTTAAAAATAATTAACAATGTTCTACTATATAATTTGTGTCATTCTTTTTTTTAGTTTTATAATTCAAAAATTTTTTCATAATATCTCATCTATTTTTTACCTTTTTATTAGTTTTTTATATTTTATTAAATTTTGGACAAATTTTTTTTTTATTTATAAAATAATTTTATTTTTTTAATTTATATACATATACATGTATATACTTATATGTAATCTATGATTTATTATTTTTCATTTTTTACAAGAATAAAAATAATTTAAAAAGCTATTTTTATGAATTTTATATATATATACATATATATATATATATTTTAAAATATATAATAATTTAAAGAATATATTTTTTAATGTAAATTATAGAATGTACAAAAAATTAAATAAAAAAAAAAAAAAAAAAAATATATATGAGTATCTATATTTTCTATCTTCTAATATATGTTAATAATTATTTATTATAGATTACATTTCTACATAATTAATCTTTTAGAAATTATCATTAAATGAGATAAAAATTAACATACAATAACTTTTTTATTATTTAAATTTTTTTAAATATGTTACTATATAATTTTTGTTAAATGTAATGTATTTATGAAAAATTAAAGAGTCTAACTATTTCATTAAATAAGGATCATGAATCTACTCGTTTAAATTCATTAAAATGAAAAATTTTAAAAACATGAAAGTTTGTTTAAAAAAAGGAACATTTATTCTTATTTTTTTACAAATTAATAACAATTATATTAAAAAGTTTATACTAACTATATTAAAAAAAATTTTGTAAATAATGAACATAATATAATATTTATAATAAAAAAAACTTATAATTCATTAATCACAAATTTACTCTTTTTTTTCAGAAAAAAAAAGAAAAAAAATTATATATTTAAATAGGAAAAGTAAAATACAATTTATGAAATTTCTTAATGAAAACATTTGATATCATGAAGATTTTAAAATAATTATAGACAAATGTAGAAAAAAAAAAAAAAAAAAATAATTATTAATCATTATTAATAAAAAAAAAAAAAAAAAAAAAAATACTATGATACATGATTTAAGATATTAGAAAAAAAAAATACAATTTAGCTTTTTCTTATTTTTAGTTGAAATATTATTTTATTTTTTATTTATTATTATTATTTTTTTTTTTTTTTTTTTAGTTAATTATATAGAAAAATGATTAAATATTATTAAAAACATTAGCAAATGTTATTATAATTTTTATTTTTTTTAGTATATCTATATTATTAAAGAAAAAATGAATACATTTTTAAAAGAAAACATTATAAATGATATAACAAAAAATCATGATATTAAAAATATAAACTTATATTTAACAAATATTGAAGAACACATTATAAAAATAAAAAATGAAGGGGGAAGTATTATTGATGAAGTATTTTTAGCTTTTAACGGATCAATTAGTCATATATCATTATATTCTTATTTATATGATCATAATGTTAATGTTGATTTAGACTGTTTGAATTTTATTTATGAGCATAGTTATATAGAAGAGGAAAAAGTGATAGAAGGAGAAGCTAAAGAAGAAAATAAAATAGTAGATATTACAAAGTTTGATTCAGATATAATGTATTATATAGTAAAAGAATACAAAGAAAAGTTTGAAGAACATTATAATTTAACTATAAAAGACTTAGAAAAAATAATATTAGAATACAAAGAAAAGATATATGAAGAATCAATTAAATTGTATAAACAAAAATATAATGATGGTATAAAAGTATATAACATTTTTTTAGATTTAAGTCATTTTTATTATGATGAAAAAAAAATGAAATTTTTAAAAAAGAAAAAGATGGATTCTGTTGAAAATTATAATGAATATATAAACTCTAATACTGATGTAGAATTTTATGAATTAAAATATCATTTATTAACCAAAAAAACAAAAGGTCATCCATCAGTTTTGTTTTGGTCTGATGCAATAAATGAAATACATATAAAAGATAAAACAATTATTTCTTCAGTTGATGCAATTAAATTAACAAATATAGAACATCAGCATATTATTGGTATTTTAGGATTAAATAGAGATGGTGATTTAGTCATACAAGGTGTTAGAAATGAATTAAAATTATTTATTAACAAAAATTGCATAATTAATAATGGTATATATTGTATTGGTCATCTTATATTGTTACAAGGAAAAATGAAATTACTAAATAAAACTTTTTATGTTACTGAAATAATGCACCCACCCAGGTTATACTAATTTACATTATATACATGATCATATATTATTACATTAATATTTTAGAAGGAATTATATATATATATATATATATATATATATATATATATATATATATATATATATGTATTTATTTATTTATTTTATTTTTATTTTTTTTTTTTATTTTTTTTATGTAGAAATTATGATGATGAAAAAAATGAAGAAGATATGTTTTATGATTTTGAAAATGAAAATGAAAAAAAAGAAATATCTGAATATGAAATTATTGTAAAAAATAACGATAAAAAACAAAATTGGATAATTATGCACGATGTATATTTAGATAATCCATATACTTTTGAAATATTAGATAAAATGTTATCTTTATATGTAAATACTTATCCGGAAAATGAATTGCCTATTGGATTTATATTTATGGGAGATTTTATAAGTTTAAAGTTTGATTATAATAAAAATTTTAATAATCTATATATGAAAGGTTTTGAAAAGTTATCTGTTTTATTAATTTCAAAATTTAAATTAATTTTACAAAATTGTTACTTAATATTTATTCCAGGTAAAAATGATCCTTGTGCTTGTAAAAATAGTATACCAAAATTTCCAATTCTTCCTTATTATATAAAAAAATTTGAACAAAATATTCAATCATTTTTTTCTTGCAAAAAAAGAATAATATTTTCTACAAATCCATGTAGAATTAGACATTTTAATAGAAAAATGATTTTCTTTAGACATGATATTTTGAATGATTTAATATGGAGTTCTTCAATAAATGCATGTGATGATGATAAACAAAATTTACAAAATATTTTAACATCAACAATAATTGGTCAAAGTCATATTTATCCAATTCCTCATGATAACAGAATATTAAAACGTTATTCTTCTTTTTTATTTTTATACCCATTGCCACATTTTATATGCTTATCTGATAATACTTGTAATAGTTTCATATCTTATGCTTCTGATAATTCGAATGATTCTATTATATCAAATTCAGATTTATCTTTTACGAAAAAAAAAACTTTTACTGTTTATAATGTTCTACAACATGAAGCTAAGAGATATGTAGTACCTATATAAATAAATATGGGAAAAAAGAAAAATTACTATTTTTATCATAATAATTTATTTTTAAAAATTCATGAAGAATATTAAATTTATTACAAAAATATATATTCATAAAAATAGAAAAAAAAAATAAAAAATAAAAAAAAAACTAAATCTTAAAAATTCCTAATTCTATAAATTATTTATTTATATTATATATATATATATATATAATGAAGAGTAATAATAATATAATATAAATTTTATTAAAAATTTTAAAAATTATAAAATTTTTTTTTTTTTTTTTTTTTTTTTTGTTAAAAAATACCATATACTTATTTTTAGACCATTTAATCATAATAATATACTTTTGATTTAGATTTGATATAATTCCATATTTTATTCTTTTCTATAAAATTATTGTGAGCAATAATTATCAATTGACTTTTTGCTCTACTTAATGCTACATTTATCCTGTTTTTATTTTCATAAAAATGTTCATAATAATTATTACTATTATAAGAAGAGTTTTCATTTGATAAATTTTTTGAGAGAACATTAAAATTTATTGTTTTACTTTTAAGTAAATTGTTAGTTTTTTTATTATTTATCTTGTTATTATAAATTTCATTATTCATATTATTATTATTGTAAATTATTTGATTATTATCTAAAACATAACACCTTTTTTTATTAACAATCGTTTTTTCATTTATAAATGAACTTAAGACACATGAAAATAAAATTATTTCTTTTTCTAAACCTTGAAAGGCATCTACAGTACTAACTTTTATTTTTTTTAGTTGATCATAATTTTTTAAATGTTTCATTTTACTTTTTATATAAAACGATTGATACTTATATAAAGTTATTACTCCTATATCTTCAGGCTTAATGTTATTATCAATCATATTTTCACATATATTTAAAATAATGTTAGCCTCTAATATATTAACATATGAAGAATTATATTTAATTTCTTTATAATTTTTTTTTATTAAAATTAAGTTTACGTGAGAGTCATATTTATTGTAAAGAACTTTAATTTTCTTTGTATTTTTCCCATTTTTTATATGATTATTGTAAAATAATTGACTACATAAATCACTTATACTTGGATGACATCTATACTGCTTATTCATAATTATTAATTTATTAATATACAAGGCATTGGTTAAATTAATTTTATCCTTTTTTATATAATTTTTTTTTTTAATATCATTTTCTATATCATTTTTCTCAATATCTAATTCAAACATTTTTTCATATAAATTATTTTTCAAAAGGGAAAATTCTACATCACTTAAGTTATTTATATCATCCATTATTTTATTTATATCTAAATGACTGTTAGTATAAATTTTATTATCATCCATATTATTTAATTTATCTTCATATTCCATATAATAATTTTTAATAAATAACTCATTTTCAATAAGTCTTGAAAACATACTACGCGTTAAATCACTTTTACTTTTTAAAACAAAACTCAGTTGTTTTACATCACCAATTAGTATAAATTTTTTTATTGGAAATTTCATAAAAAATTTTAAAAGAGTTAATTCATTTATTTGAGTACATTCATCGACAATTAAATAATTAATACTTTTTTTTACTGAATTTAATTTTTCAAAGATATATAAACTTTTACATGTTCCTGCTATAACTCTTTTATTTTTATATTTATTTTTTAAAACGAAATCTTTTTTTTTTTTTAAAATATCTACTAGTATATCAAAATTTTTTATTTTATTTATATCATTTCTTATTTTTTCTTTATTATCAATACAGAATTTATCCATATTATTTTTTTCTATTTTATTTAAATCATTATCACTCATTTTATATACGTCTGAATTACAGGAATTACTTAATGAATTTTTATAATTATTTCCGTTAATATTGTTATTATTAAAATTATTAGTCAAATTGTCTGATTTGTTATTTATATTTTCTAAATATCTTTTGAGTTCCTCTATATTTTTTTCTTCTTTTGAATTTATATTAATAAAATTTGTAATTAAAAAAAAGTTTATTTCAAAAATACTTCCTATTCTGGCAAAATTATAAAAATCAAAATCAAATTTCAATTTTAAAAGAATATTATCAACGCCTAAGTTCGTGTTGCACATTAGTAATATTTTTTTCCTAACGTTTTCACTTTCATATTTTTCTTTATTTTTCTTAATGTCTTTTTCATAATCATTTTTTTTTATATTATTATTTTGTTTCATATTTTTTTCTTCATTACTTTCTTTTATAATGCTTTTGTTTTTTTTTATTTTTTTTTCTTCACAACTTAATATTTTATCTAAATATAAAATAATATTGCAAATAAGAGTACTTTTACCAGAACCAAAAATTCCATTAACAAGTAAGCCACTATTATTATTTTTTACTAAATTATCTTGGTTATCTATTATTAAGTTTTCTTTTTTTTTATTATTATTTTCTTCTACTTGTTGATTATATTTAAACCAATTAATTATGCATTCAAGTATAGTTTTCTGTTTTGTGTTTAAATTATCATTTTTTTTTATATTTAATATTAATTCATTTTTATAATCATTACTAACGTTATTTAATTTTATAAATTCATCGGGAATATTTTCTGAACAATATTTTATTCCTAGTTTACTTAAGATGAAATCATAGTTTGCTTCATTATTATTAATATTGTTATGTAAATCATTTTTATAGTTCTTTATTTTATCTGTGTTTTTATAAAAGTAAAATAAATATTTTAAATTATCCATATGATCAAAAATTTTAATAAAAAATAAACAAAAAGAAAAATTCTTTTTTTTATGTCTTTGAAAAAAGTAAAAATATTCTTTTGTTGATTCGCTTTTTTCTTTTTTAAATATTTCGTTCATATATGTAAATGTCTCTAAATTCAAAGGAAAAATTTCCAAATGGTCTTTTTTCAAGGAATTCCATTTTGTAATAAAAATTAGCAAATCTTTATCATCGAGAAAATAATTATTTTTGCTTAAAACTATTATATGATTTACGCTAATGTATTTACTTAGATCTTCAATTTTTTTTGTGCCATTTTTTTGTATTAAAAAATTATCATTTTCACCAATTTTCAGGAAAAATTTACACCTGTTTTTACAACATTTATTAAAATTTTCATCTTGAACACTATAAATAATTTTAACATCTTGTAATAATAGGAAATAATCATCTTCTGAATTATTATGTTTTTTTTCTTCATTCAAAAAATCTGATATATAATTCTGTTTTTTTTCATCTAATTTCGAATTATTATTCCTAGAGTAATCAAGGTTTTCCTCAATATAATTATTATTATTACCTTTCCATTTATTTTTTTGATCATTTATTTGACTTAATGAATGTATTAAGTTGTTATGAAAATATAATATTTTATTCGTAACTTCATAATATATTTGAAAAAGAATAGCATTCATAAAATATAAAATATATTCTGATTTGTTTTTAAAAAAATTCGGTATTTTATAATATTGTAATTCATTTAACTTATTTCTTATATCTATTTTTTCTTTTAAAATAGTTATATATATGGGTAAGAATAAGTTATTTTTGTTGATATTATCAATATCACTAATACAAAAATTAATGTTATTAGATTCAAAAATACTTATGTTTTTTATTTCATACAATTCAGAATAAAAATTTTTTTTTATGTTTTCTTCTTCAATTATTATATCTTTATGTAAGACGAACTCCTCTTTTGTTTTTTTTAAATTATCTTGAACAAAATTATTACATTTATTAGAATTTTCTTTTGTGTTATTTTCATGTATGTTTTCTGTATTTTTATTTAAAACATTATTTAAGTAACATTTTTCATTTTTTAATTTAAGTGTACTTTTATTATTACTAAAATTAGATAAATGAATTGGTTCATTTTGTAAATATCCTATTGAAGGTATTTTATTTGTATTATTATAAGCACTCTTATTGTTATTATCACAAATTTTACCATTACTATTATTATTATTATTATTATTATTATTATTATTATTATTATTATTATTATTATTATTATTATTATTATTATTTTTACTATTATTAAAAGATTCAAAATCATTTGTAAATTTATTTAATTCATTTGTTTCTTCACAATTATTATCATTTGTTTTATCTAAATTTTCTTTTTGTACATAATTTATCATATCAGAATCTAATGTCATATAAAAGTTATCTTTAAAAATATTTATGTATGAAAAATTATTTTTGCTTGTTATTTTACCTATATTAATTATTTCTTCATATATATTATTACTATGATCATTTTCACATAAAAAAAAAATTTTTTTATCATTGCTCCTATAAAAAGGAATTTCATGTTCTTTCTGCTTCTTAAAAGAATTACAATCATTTTCTTTTAAAAAATCATATTCTATGGTTTTATTATGAATTTTATTAAAATTTTTATCATAAATATTTTTTTGTATTTTCAATGTATTATATGGAGAATCTTCTTGGTCATGACATTTAAAATCTCTATCTGAGTTATTCTGTGAATTATTTTTGTTATGATAAATATTTAAGTTATTCTCCTTACTTAAATTTGTTTCTATGTTTTCTTTATCAAACTTGTTTATATTTATATCATGTAAGTTACACTTTATATTATTTTTAGTGTATTTATAATGACTTGAATAAGGGTATATATTTTCCTTGATTTTAATTTCATCCTTATCTGTTTTACATATGAAATTATTATAAACAATGAAATTTCCCAAAGTTATATATTCATCATTTGTTATATTCTCTTCTTTTTTTGTAAATAATATCTCTTCTGAAAAATTATATAGTGTCAGTGTATTTCCTACTTTCTTAATATATCCGTCAAACCATTTTATATTCTTTTTTTTTTTATTAAATAAATTCTTGTTTGTGTATGTTACACTTATAAATTTATTCTCATTTTTTTCTTTTTTTTCATTTTTCCCAGTTTTTTCATTTTCTTCATATTTTAAGTTAAAATTAGTTACATTATTCTTAACACCTTCGTAAGTTGATATATCATGCTTTTTTTTTTCTTCTTCCTGTTCGTTTTCGTCTTCATCTATTTTACTTTCATTTATTTCATAATTAATTTTTCTTGGTATTTCAAATTTTTTATTTTTATTAATATAAGAGTTTAAATTTTTATTTGTATATACAGCTTTTTTATGATTACTTAATTCTTTATTTTTTTTCTCATCGTTTTCAAGTGAATTTAAATCATAGCTTTCTCTTTTTTTTTTATTTGTATCTAAATTTTCTAATAAAAAAGTACTAATTCTTTTCTTAACTTTTTCATTTTTTATTTCATTTTCATCATAATTACTTATGTCAACAAGCTGAACTAAATGACTAGCTAATTCTATTTCTTCTTCGATGTTAAGAAAATTTATTGAATTATTTACAGAACTTTCTATACAATTTTTATTCAAATTTAACAAATTTATTTTAGTCATACCATAACTAGCTATTATTTCACAATATCCTTCTTGCCATTTTTTATTTTTTTGTATTTTCTGATGTGTATATAAGCACTCATAAGTTCTTTTAATTATATTTGAATTCATTCAAGTAAAATGGAAAATTACTATTTTGAGAATAAATATAAAAAAAAAAATATAAATTTTTTTTTTTTTTTACAAAATAAGAAAATTAAAAAATTTCTAAAATACATTAAATATATATTTAAATATAATCTATTAAAATTTATAGCTTCGGATTTATTGTAACCACTCATTTAATTTATTAAAAAAAATGTGTTTATTTAAAAAATATATATTTATTGTTAAATATATTTGTTTTTCAATTTACTCCTTTTGTAATATAAAAAGAAGAAATATTTTAAAAAGATTAACTTGTTCAGGTTAATTATATATTTATTTTATGAACACTCAAAAAAAAAAAAAAATTCAAATTTTTCTTTTATTTGCTGAGGTGTTTAATTCAATATAAATATTTTTTTTTCATTTTTTGATAAATTATTGCTTACACATTATATATATATATATCTATATATATATATTTACACATTTTTTTTAAAAATTAATAAAGCTTTCAAGTTAAAATGTATGTTTTTATGAATTTTTTTTTTTATAATATAGATTTATGTATACAAAAAAAAAAAAAAAAAAAAAAAAAAAAAAAAAAAAAAAA